CAGGGGGTTCTTTCTCCTCCTTGTCATTAAGAAACATTAATATATTTTAGCACTTTAATCAAAAGTAGACAAGAACAGGGAAAAGATGTGAAATTAATTCACTAAATTTATTTATGATTTACAATTCTGGTTCAAGCTATTACTAGCAAAAAAATAAAGGTTAAAACTTACAGCTGGTTGGTTTCTCTCTCTTTCAATTATTCACACTATCTCTATATGCCATCAACATGAATAATTGGAAGTTGTTTTATTTCCTAAAGCCACAATTTCATCTGTCATTGACAAGTCTAACACATTCTACTTTAGCTTACAGTCATTATTTCCCAAAGGACTAATAGATCTAGAGAGAGAAGAAAAAGAGGGCAAGCAATGAAATTCTCTTATTTTGACACAGTATTAAAACGGCTCTTAAACAATCACATCTATAATTAACTGGCCTTGTTTGAGTACTAGGAGAGAAATACGTATTCCCTATCTTGGTAAATGATACAACCATTCAGTCATAAAGTCACGCAGGCCAAAAGTTCAGGAGTCCTCCCCTTATCTCTTAGTTCACAAAGCAACTGAAAACTATCAGACTGATATCTCTCTCAACATTCTACCACCAGATCTAGAAAGCTACCAACATCCAAAACCACCCATCAATTCCTCTTTTCTTCCTGTTATAACTGAAGGACCTTGCTCTCTTGTTGTCCTCTCTATCTTCAACCTCTCCCTTTTTGTGTGTCTTTACCATCAAAATTTAAACTTGAACAAGTTCAAGCCATCTAAAACAAACTGCACCTTTATTCTCTTCCTGGGTCAAATCCCTTCTACCTCTCCCTTCCTGGGTCAAATCCCTATTCACCTCCAGACATCCTTGACAAACTGCCCTAACCCGCTGTTTCAATTTACTCAGTTCCCAAACTTAATGTAATCCCGTTTCTGTTTTACCACTTCCACTGTCCTCAAAGTCACCAGATGGACTCAGCATCACTTATCGAATGGAATATTCCTCCCTGACAACCGCCCCCGCCTCCAAAATGCCATGTATTCATCAAGGCTCCAACATGTTACTTCCTCCTTTCTCACTCTACAGACTCTCCCCAAGTGATCTCACCTTCTTCCTTCTACACACGGATAACTCCAAAATCTGTATCTCCACCCCACTGACCTTTACACCAACATCGGATCCATAAATGTAACTTCCTCCCAGCAATTTCTCCTTACACGTTTGTAAGCACCTCATATGTTTAACATGTCTAAAATCAAACTCATTATCTCCAAGCTCTCTCCCAAACCTGCTCTTTTTCCAGTATTCCCTGTCTCAAGTCCAATTATTTACATAACATATATACATACATATATGTACATATACATGCGTGTATAAATACACAGATATACACGAGACCCTATTTTGCACCACACAAAGTGCCGTGTGCTAGTACAAATGAATGCTCTTTGTTCTGTCAGCGTTTATAACCCAGTGCACTCACCACTTCCCAGGCTGATTCTTTACTCTAGTCACACTTCTGATCTCTCTTCTTTCTGTTTCATCTTTAATTAGGTAAACATTGTATGGATACATATTTTTTTCCTAATAAAAAAATTATTTTCTAATAAAATGCCGAAATTTTACATTCTGGTAACATATTGTTTATCCAGGCTCCTGATACATCTGTTAATTCTTGAGAGTGACCTGTACAAAAGTATCGGTAAATTAACACTTAGCACTTGTTTTATTTATTCATTTTTCCCCCCCAAAGCCCCAGTAGATAGTTGTATGTCATAGCTGCACATCCTTCTAGTTGCTGTGTGTGGGACGCGGCCTCAGCATGGCCGGAGAAGCGGTGCATCGGTGCGCGCCCGGGATCCGAACCCGGGCCGCCAGCAGCGGAGCACGCGCACTTAACCGCTAAGCCATGGGGCCAGCCCAGCACTTGTTTTAAAGAGAAAAAATTTTTAGGTCGTTAAGTTACAAATTGACCTTACCTTGATTTCAAAATGAACTATTCTCCTCAATATCATATAGGTACATAAGTGCTTAAAATAGTGCCTGGTACATGGTAAGTTCTATACGTTGTCATCATAGTATTATTGTTATTATCAGAATATTATTGATTTGGAGAAAACAGGAAAAGCAAGTAAAACCAAGATATAAGCATGTGATAAACACAGTTGTTTCCAAATGGTACATTTTGTATGGCAGCTATTCAAAGATATTTAAGGAAAATATCTTGGTTTTATATTTATCCCTGTACTTCTCCTACTCCCATCCCAGCACATTCCTTGTTCTTCACTTTCATAAAAATGCTTTCATCATAACTTGTTAATAACGCATGTAGATAAAAACTTTGAAATTATTATCAAAAACATGATTAAGCAGCTTTGATCATTAATTTGGAATTCCATTAGTTTTCAACTATTCCATGAATTCAATGTGTATCTGAGTTCACTTCGTGATTCCTGTACTCCAGCGAAAAGGTCAAGATGTTATGAAATAACAACGTTTCATCTTCTGGCTTCCGTATCTTGCATTCATGAGGGAGTGCACTGCATGCAATAAGCATTAAATAAAAATTCATCAAATTGAATAACTCTAATGCATGTCTGGTACATTTTAATTAAAGCTTGTGTACCACTGGTCAAATCCTTCACAGACTAAAAATGGTAGGAAAATATCTTGGCTATACTAACCTGATAAAAAATAAATATAAATGATAAATAAAATAAATTCAAATAGCAAGTAGCTCCTTGTTTATTTGTTTAGAAACAGAAGCTCTGTGAGCTCAGACACCAAAACTGTTTTGTTGACCATTTTTTCCTGCCATGGAGGCAGGAAGCATTCTGTAAATATTAATAAATGACTATAAAAATCACATTTGTGCTAGTATTTTAATGATATAACACTATCTATACATAATAGTACCTCATTATTATTTCTGAATATATAATTAATAGTACTGACAGTACAGTGAAGCCATCATCTGGTACCAAAAATCAGAATGTAAAGTATCATGAACAGTTATGATTCCAGAAATAAATAAGTGAAAACACAAAATCCTAATTATGCCTGTAAATTAAAAAACACCCTCTGACATAAATATCTAATCAGCAAGATGCTTGCTGTCTAAAGTTGGTGATGTCCTCCCATGAAGCTGAAGAAGACAGGTTCAGATAACTGTTGAAAGTCATTATTCATATTACCAGCAAGGAAAATAGCCAGAGGGAAGGCTAATTCAGCTATATTTTTATATATTTTTTTTTTTTTTGTAAAAAATCTTGCCCTCTTGTAGAGCTAAGCATTCTGAATCACTGTAATCAAGGGATTTTTAAAGCAAGTGACAAGAAATAAAGAAAAAAACAATTGGTTCAAGAGACTATGTCTTCCTAATTGTTGTGATATGATCCTAGCTGCTCCTTCCTAGGCTCTTGTTCTAGATCCTCCTCCTCTTTCTGACGTCTACATATTGGAGTCCCGGGGGCCACATCCTCAAATCTCTTTTCTCTCTATACTCTTTTTTCTAGGTGAATTCATTCAGTTCCTTGGCTGATGACTCTCAAACCTCTATCTCCAGCTACAACCTCTCCACTTATTCTAAGACTTGCATACCCAAATGCCCACTCACCACATCCAATTTGCTATCAAAGAGACATGTCCAAGTCATCATTTCCAAAACCAAATTCTTGATCTACTACCCCAAACTTACTAATATTCTACCTGTCCCCTCCCAGATTTGTTATCTGAAAAAACAGCACCATCATTCATGTCATTGCTCAGGCCAAAAACTTTGGGGTCATCCCTGACTCTTACACTCATCTCATCCATCAACAGATCCTCTCACCTCTACCTTCACAATATATCCAACCACTCCTCAACACTATGTTATCAGGTAAATCCTCTCTTGCCTGGCTCTGCAGCAGCACCCTAATTGGACACTCACTTTCACTCTTGTCCCCCAAAAGCTTATTCATCTGGAGTCAGAGGAGCCCATTCAAAACGTAGGTCAGATCCTTCCACTTCCCAGCTCTCAAACTGAGCAGCTTCCCATCATGCTTAGAATAAAATTCAAATTATACATATCATGACCGGTAAGGCCCTATATGATCAGGTCCAGGGATCTCTCTGAAATCGTTTCTTCCCACTCTCTAACTTCTTCAAATCTCCCCAGCCACAGCAGCTTCCTTGCAAACCTTAAACATGCCAAGTACAACACACTGTTAGGGTCTTCCAAACATCCTTGACCGTGCGCCTGGAACACTCTATCCAGACTGCTGCATAGTTTGCTTCTTCACTTTACGCAGATCTCTGATCAAAGATAGCTTCTCTCACCACCCTATCTAAAACAGAATACTGATCCATCAGGCTCTCTCTCTTTACCTTCTTTTTCTTCAAGCATTTAAAATTGAGGGACACAATACTAGGTAATTATCTTTTTGTCTGCTTATATTCTGTGCCCTCCACTAGTACACATGCTTCAGGAGGGCAGGGACCATGTCTGTTTTATTCACCACTGTATCCCCAATGCCTGTAACAGTACCTAATGCACAGTAGATGCTTAATATTTATTGAAAAACTGAATAAATTCAAGAAATCAGGTTTTAGCGATGCATGACTCACATGCATAGATATTTCAGGATATTATTTATATCCATCACATACCTACACTGAAAATATATTTACAACTACCAAAGTGCTTCCAAATACTTAAATGTGAATGTCCCAAAGGGAACTAGGTTAATATAAAACTACAATAATTGACCACACTGAGTCTGTCATAACAAATAAAAAAATATGCAAGCTTCACTGGTGTTCTCTTTCTACTGAAGAGTATATATATATATATATATATACTGTGTGTATATATATATATATATATACACACACACACATACACACACATACAATTCAGAAAATGTCCAAGAGGCTATAAAATAATGGTTCTCCCCCAAGAAGATAACCAAAATATCCCACTCCCTAGAGTTATTGCAATAAAGAACAAAAAGCAAAGTGCACTTACCTCCCTTTTTCTACCAAGAGCAAGACATCCATTTTTTCCCCATTTTGAACCATTGTGCTCATTGCTGGAGAGAAAGAAGAAAAGCATGAACATATTTTTTTAAAAACATTACACTAAACACCTATAAAAACACAATTATTAATACTACTTAGTCATATGTTCGGGAGTGAGCCATCATAATTTTATGTATAAGCTACCATTACTATATGCAATAAAGAATTTTGTCCAAATTATAAAACGAGAGAAAAAAAATCTTACTTAGCTCCTGCAGTCTTCTTAAGTGCATTCTATCTTCCTGAACTTCTTGCATTTGAAGGCAAAAACGCAAACTAGATTTGTCCATAGCAAACCAGCCTTTTCTCCACTGATCCAGTGCATGGCAATCTTTGTAGTAGAGTTGACCAATCAAATCATAGTCAGCTTCTGCTAAGTTTTCAGCAACAAAGGGAACAAAATGCTGTTAAAACAAATACAGAAAAGTAATAAAGACAGTGAAAATAGGAAATCCCTTCCATAGCTACAGATACGAGGGAAGGTAGAAAAATTATCTTTGTTTTTCTGTTTTAAAGATTTAAAAGTAACCTAAATTTCAAAACAATTATTTAAACTTGCTTTCAATCTTAAAACTGAACAGCTATAATGCCTTTTCACATGGCAGCATCTTAAGCCATTTTTTTTGAATATATATACAGAATTGAAATAGGAAGACATTCTCTTTGTTGATTTGTGGCATTTTTCAAAATGTCAACCTTCAATGTTTGTCTCCATTTATATCTTTTACTGTATCTGTTCTTTTCCCCTTTGTATTACCATGAATAAGACATCTACCTATAAAAAGACATACACAGAAATGACTTTATTATATTGGAAAGATTTTAATTATCAAAACATGGCATTAAGTTGAAGAATGATTTCTTCAAGGTCCTACATTAATTTCTTCTCTAATTCTTAACCTCTTTTGACTATCACCTATGAAAACCTAATAAAGTATGGACATTCCTCCCAGAATATTGTCTAAAATTTTGATGGACCTCTGAAGCTCAACCATAGACCCCAACATAAGAATCTGCTCTGGAATTAGGGTAATAATACAATATTTAAATACCTTGGCTATTGCCTCTGTCCATTTTCTTTGAGCTTGAGATGTTTCAGCTCCAAATAAAAATGCACGTTCTGAGGGTAAATAGATCTCAAAGGTAAAGATGGGCCTAGAGCATACATGAATAAAGAGATACCACTGATTATATTTGGCTTTTATTAAAAAAAAAAAATGAAGGTCAAATTTTTAATTAAATTCCTTTTGAAAACTGAATAATGCTGTGAAATCAATCAATCTATTTATCCATCTATCTACCTAGCATTTTCCTGTTGATCTTTTGTATTTTATTCAAATGAGTTAAATAGAACACATTGAATCAGACAAAAGGAATATTTTGCTGACTAAATCACTCTGCTGCACGACTTTGTTGATGCCCTGGACACTCATCAGTTGGCTGATGTGGCAAAGGGCTCTCTTCTGTCTCCTCTTCCCTCTTGGATCACTCCTTCTTGATTTACTCTCACCACCAGTTCAAAGCAAACACTGTCCAAACAGTTGTCTAATTAGCCCTCTTTGTCTTACTTCACAAATTTTGCTTCCATCATCTCATCTCATCTCATCCTAAAATTTCGTGTCCTTACCATAGATAAAATTAGACTAACACCCCATGTCCTGAATTCTTCCCTGGCTTTCTCATCCACGGCTCCAACTACTTCCTGGAACATGTTAAGTATGTATGCTGCCATTACCTAAAAAACTCAAAATACCCTACATATCAAAGTCATCTTCCTTCTTCCCCTTTTTCACCTCAGACTTGTAGTCTCTCCTTCACATTCCAATTTAGAGGCATCGCCATCTACCTCATCAACAAGCTCAAAACCTTGGAGTTTAATTTATTCTTCTCTTTCCCATCAGCTCTTCACCCAATCAGTCAGAGATTCAATCTTAGCCATTCAATCTGAAGATTCTCTCAACCCACTGTTTTTCTTTTTAATTATTTCTTTCTCTAGCTAAACTCTCAGTAATTAGGATCTCTCTTCCTCCAATCTCTTCCTTACCATTTCAGCCAGCTTTCTTCCTAAAATACAAATCCGCATAACTCCTCAGGGGCTACATTACTGAGTTCAAACTCTATAATTTGCTATTTAAGGCAATTCAGAATCTGGCTGCAACAATTCTTTTTTAACCACATCTCCTTGTAGATGCTTTCTCTTGCACATCTACTTGTATCAGTAACATTCTATCAAGAGAGTCTTATTTTTTAATATGATTCTATGCTGACATAAACTAATATTATTTAAATTGTATTTTATTTACTAATTAAGCAACTTAACACACAGAATGCACTTATTCTCACATTCTACAGTAAGCCACATTAAACTGATTATTTATTTAGAATAAAAGCACTATTAAGATTAATACAAACACAAACAAATTAAGACAAAAACAAACCAACTAATAATCAGTTTGTTCACTTAAAAATATCAAATTACATTTACTAGAAAACAACAGTCATATCAACTAGCACATATTGGTCATTACGTAGTAATAGTAGTTTCATGTAATTTTATGTAAATAACATAGCTTTGCAAATCTCTTCTCTTTCTCATATAAAATTTTCATTAAAATATCATGTTTCTATGAAGCTGATTTTTGCAGATTTTAGTATTTATACTTTTCCATTAATTATATTACAAAATGTGATAAGATGTGGTGTGACCATCACACCAAAGATGGTCAGTTTCCAAAAATTTTCACAGAAATTCTATTAAACTACTTTGTGAATCAAATATATTAATAATGCTTACTCTTTTATAATTGCAACTTTTTTGAGACCATTAAAATGCCAAAGTAGACCTTTAAGGAATTTAGTGTTTCAATATGCTATTAAATATACTTAATATTTTTTGTTTTTTAATGGGCACAAGTCATCACTGAATATTTTCCTTTGTCATCTGTTTCAACCATGGTACATTTAATGCATGCATAAATTTTGCCATTAGTCCACTATTTTAAATAATGAGTAAATCATAAAAATTATTAGGACTACATGTTCAAGAATGGAATGCTAAAAATTTACTTAAGATTAGATGCAAACATATTAGCTTTCATGTTACCTAGTGTAATGTTTTAATTTTCCTACTTTTTAGTGAATTCCCTAAGGAATTTTCAGAAGCTGCAAAATGAGTAGGCCTTAAGAAACCATTAAACCCTTCTGCAAGAAGCAAGAACCGAAATGATAACAAAACCCTTATTACCTGGTATGATAAATATCAGAAAACACGTTCATCTCCTACCTGTTTAATGATAGACTTACCCAGTATTTAAATAGAAGTCTTCTTTGTGTACAGCCAGGCAGATAACTTCATTGATATTAACGGTGCCATTAGGTGTGGTAGACTTATCATTTTCATAGTAACTCAAGAAGCCTCCTTCCAAAACACACCACTTTTTATTTGTCTCTAAAAATTTAAAACAAAACAAATAATAAATTGAACTATATCATAAATATAACTTTTCAAAAATACATGTTTTAAAAAATGACCAGATCTGAATAAATACATTTATTAATTTCCTATTTTGTGTAAAAAGCATGCTATTGCTGCATGGGATACAAAGTTGTCACATTCTCATCGCTCAAGAAATTTACAATGTAGTAACAAGGGATGTACAAGACAAAAATAACTATGACACTGACGACTACAAAAGCAGGCAGATCCATAAAGAGACTGGTGCACAACTCTGAAAGAGCAAAGACTGATGTCTGTACAGAGAATTAGCAGGAAAAAAATGTAGCATAAAATGTAAGACTGTGGTTGATGTTAGGTAGGTATGCAAAGGAAGAAGGGATCTGACCCTGCGGTGCCTTAAAGCCTTGTTTAGGGGATTTAAAATTCATCTTCTAAGGGGGTCAGCACACTATGGCCTGCAGACCAAAACCAGATCATCACCTGTTTTTATAAATAAAGTTTTACTGCAACACAGCCACATCCACTCATTTACGGACTGTCTGTGGCTGCTTACTTGCTACAAGGGCAGAGATGACTTACAGCAGAGACCATCTGGCCCACAAAGCTTAAAATATTTACTATCCGGCCTTTTTCAGAAAAGTACTGAGCTTTGATTTTATAGCTGATGGTGAGCCATTGAAATGGTTTCAGCTAAAGAATATAACCAGATTTGAATTTTACCCACTCTGCTTACAGTGAAAAAATGCATTTGAGAATGTGATGCCAGAGGCGGGAGACCAGTTAGGACACAGTCGGCAGAAGTCTAAGCGACAGATGAAGGTGACCAAAAGCAGGACAGTGGTAGTAAGGATAAAGCTGGGGCGGGGAGAGATAGAGAGACAGACACAGAGAGGTGGAAGTGGGGAGGGAAAGAGAAACGCGTACATGCAGGTGTGTGTTTTAAAGTGATAAAACATATATTAATTGGATGCAGGGAGTAAGGGAGAACTTATTAATGGTTGTATCATTTTTAGCTTTGATTACAAAGTGGGCAGCAATGCCAACTTTTATTTAAAAGAAAATAAAGTAGAAACAGTTTAGTGCATGTAATATGAGTTTCCTTTGAAATACACTGAATGAGAGATATCGGCTGGAAAGCCAAGTAGAAATACTTATTAGGCAGATCACCCTATGGATTTGCATCCTGGAGGTAAAGAAAGGTCTCGATAACCAGAAAATCTTTAGAATACAGGTAGTAGTTAAAAATATAAAGTAACCAAGGATAAAATCTTAGAAAACTTAAAATGGTAAGGACTAACGAACGTAGAAGGGTCCACGAAAGCAATGAAGCAAATGAGATGAGACAGTGTATAAAACAGAAAAGGCGTAGAGCATTTCAAAAAGGAATGATTATCACTATTAAATATAGCAAAGAGATCTAATAAAATAAGGGCTGAAAAATATCTGTTGGTCTTCATAAGGCGGCAGTAACTGCCTACTTTCCTGAGAGTTCTGTGGAAGGAGCCAGGTTGCAGCATATTGACAACTAAATAGGAAGTAAGAAATGGAACCCTTACTCCACTAATGTGACCTGACTCCCCAGACCAAGTTAAGTATCTTCCTGCGGCATCCTTAGCACTATGTGGACCCTAGGAAGGTGGAATTGGAAATCAAAGACTCTGGGTTCTAATAACACCTCCATCACCAACTGAGTACCCTTGAAAACGAAGTTAACCGCTCTGGGCCTCAGGTTCTTCATCTGTAAAATGGGGATAAGAAAAGCATCTAACTCACAGGATTGCTGTGGTGATCAAATGATGCAATACATATAATGCACATAGAAAAGTGACTCTACATGTGGCTGTTCAAATATATACTACCATTTTAATACGATATAATCATTTCTATTCAATACAACAATTTAAAATGCTATTTTTAAATATAAATGTAATATTTGAGCAATATAACAATTTAGATTTATTTAGTTATCCATAAATGCTATAAGCAACTTGAGAACAAGGGCTATATTTTCTATTTCAAGAATCACCACATTGCTTAGCCTAGGGAAAGTTTGTTGAAATTATTATTTTCATAAATGAGGAACTAAGATTATTAAGTATGGAAATGGCTCAGAGGAAGTTGCCAACATTAAGAGAAACGCAAAGATAACAAACGTGTTGAAGAGTCATAAATAGAATTTCTTTTAAGCATAGGAGGATGGATCCATGTATGTATCTCCATTCCCTCTCAAAACTCCAAAAGAATGACACCGAAGATAGACAGTATAAACTCAAAAGGACAAAGAAAATCGAAGAGACCTACAGTACACAAGAAACAACTGAACTGTCTTAGAGGCAAATGTGGCACCTTCAGATATGCAAAAGAAGTCAACAAGAAATAAGCAATGTTCTACGTACAAAATTCCAGAAAGTCTTAGAGAGGCTAATACCTCAGGAAGTGTGGGATAAGGAGAGCTGAACCAAGTTTATTATATAAAGGCAGTTAAGCCCATGTATTTTCTCCCCTGTGCTAAGCAGCTAAGCAACAACCCCTCCTCACCCATGACTCTGGAGAAACTGGACCAGCCAGATTCTAAACTGGGAGACTCAAGCATTGCCTGGAGGTAAGGAGCCATTCTGGAAACAAAGCGGTTACATGACATTCTACACAACTCCTAGTTACCTCCCCACATTTACATACAAAATGCTGGAGCCAGTGATAACCAAGACCCCATCCCAATACTCAGCAAGAGACTGGTAGAGTCTTCTGACAACTGATCTTAAACATTTAAATGAAAACTTCCAATAGTAAAGACAGAGATCAAAAACAAAATAGCAGGGCCAGCCCCGTGGCGTAGCAGTTAAGTGCGCGCGCTCCGCTGCTGGCGGCTGGGCCAGATCCCGGGCGCACACGGACGCACCGCTTGTCAGGCCATGCTGTGGCAGCCTGCCACATAAAGTGGAGGAAGATGGGTACGGATGTTAGCCAAGGGCCGGTCTTCCTCAGCAAAAAAGTGGAGGACTGGCATGGATGTTAGCTCAGGGCCGATCTTCTCACAAAAGAAAAAGTAAATAAATAATCAAGCCAAAGAGGCAGATTTAAAAAAAAAAAGTAATAAATTTTAAAAACTATGATTAATATCAGACTGTTAAGGGAAGATACTGCAACTATAAACAAGAACAGCATGCTCTAAAAAGTACAATTAAGAAAATAAAAAATAATTTCTAATAAAAATACATCATAATTTTTAAAAATTTTTAAATTAAAAAGTAAGAGAAAGCTTGGAAAATGAACTCTTCCAAAAATAAAACAAGAGAGAGAAAAAAGATAATATAAGATGATCAATCCATAAGGCCCAATATCCAACCAAGTTACTTCTAAGAAAAGAGGAAAAGAATAGATGAAAAAATTTATCAAATGGATAATGTCTAAGAATGAATAAACAAGGAGAAATATCTGTTTTCCATTAAAACTATATGCACATATTGCTTTGGTAAAATAAAAATTAGACATAAAAATTGCTTATAAAGATTGTCAATTAATGTGTTGATCCAAATTAGGTCAAAAAAAAAAAAAAAAAAAGAATTTATGGCTAACCCAAAAGGCTTGGTTCCCTAACTAGCAATTCTCAGCAATCTCAAAGGTCTAGAAGCAGAAATAGTGAAAATGGACTGAAGAGGTTGGCCAAACTATTCTCTGACAGTTCTACCAGGGGTAGAAGAAAATTTCAAAAGAAACAAATTCTGGAGGGTAACAAGAATGCGTCTGAAATCAAAACAGGGATGCAAATAAAGGTGGAAGAGGGTTGATGAACCAGAATAGGAAATGGTCCAGGGTTCATGAACAAGAATAACAGAAAGGGTCAAAGAACTACATACAAATTAAGGCCCAACCACAAAAACGTAATCATGGGATTAACATTACTTTACATGTATACACTGAGCCAAACTCTGCGAATGCATCAACTATAATATGAGGTTATCATTTTGGAAAGTAGAGTAAATTATACAGGTTAATAGGACATCTGAGTCAATGCGGCCGTGAAAATAAACAGTGGTCCATACACACAAAAAAAATACTGGAGAAAATGAAACTTAGGCTAAAGGTGATTGTTACTGACTATGGAAATGATAAGGGGGGGAGAAGTTATTAATTGCTACAATTTAACTGAGTACTTAACAATGGAGGTCAAGAACTACTTCCTAAAGGCTGTGTATGCTTTCTCTTTTAACTGAGAAAATAAAATTCAGTGTAGTTTCTAAAAAGATGCAATGCTTATTTGCTAAAGTGTTGTCTAATGGAAGACAGTGGGGCTGGGAAGAAGGTGCCATTTCAGTATGGGTCTGTTCAGGCTTGTTTTATTCCTACTGAATTCTGAAAATTGCGTGCCAATATAAAGTGTGTATTTACTACTTCAGTCTTCTAGTGGGTTTGACATGATTATACATTCCAAAAGTATCCATGTTACTCTTTGCATTTAGCTTATTTTCCAGCTGAACCTTAGGCATTGAAAATGCAAACGCAAAAGAGTTCAAACAAAAGGGATGAACGCCAACCAGACACGATTTCATATAATCTGCCTTCACATTGCCAAAATTTGTTTTTAATCTTCATCACTCCTTTTTAATTCCCACTTTAAAAAACTAAAACAATGAGCCTCACTAACTGAGTAACAAAAAAAACAAATCATCCCATATATTTCCTATTGACATTAACATGTGAAAATTAAATTCTGAAAGATTTATTATTTTCTATAGGTTTTAAGGATATAATTCAAAGTCTATAGTTTACCACATAACTCTTTGAATAAGTAGGGTAAAATACTAAACTTACATGTTTCAAAAAAGTAATGCTAGAAAGGAAAGATTATGTGAAAATTTTAGTTTCCCTCCATAAAAGAAATTATTTTTTAATTATCACCCCACCATCCTGTTTCTGGACTCTAGAGATCGTACAAACTCTCAAATTGGTAAGTTAATGCTAAGAATTAAATTATATAAGCAAACCTCAAT